GATTGGAGGGTGATGGGGGTCAATGCCTGAGGGCTCCCAGTATGTGAGAGGGGGCAGGCTGGGCTGAGGGACACTCCCCCCCACACACACACACCCAGTGCACGAATTTCGTGCACCGGGCCCCTAGTATAAATGTGTGTGTGTGTGTGTGTGTGTGTGTGTGTGTGTATACACTAATATACGTATATATACTAGTATATATTCATATTCTACTGGAAGACACTATATTGGTATATATTCAGGGTTTTGTGTGTTTTATATTTCATTGTGTAATTTTTCATTTCAGTTATTTTCTTTTTCATTTTTAGAAGTTTCAATTCTTTTTCATATTTTCAATTTGTCTCCTCATGTTTTTGTTTTCCTTTATGTCTTTGAACAAATTGATAAATATTGATAATGACTGTTGTAAAATCTTGGCTAATTTCATCATCTCTTTCATTGCTGGGTCTTTTTCTATTGATAGATTTCACCTCATATTTGAAAAGGGATAGAAAGTTAATGGAGAATTTATGAGTAATGAGAGGCTTTAAGGATTTTAAGTTATAGAACCATATATACTCATCATTTGAACATTTGCTTTATGAAAGACATTCAACTTCTCAAGGGAAGTTGAATATGACCAAGATATCGTCTTTGCCTTTAAGAACTTACTATTTAGAGCAGAAGTTGGATTTGTAAACCATTTTCTTTGGGATGACTGATTGAATGTGGCATAGAAAATAGATTTCTACTCCAAAACTTTATTTATTTTCCTAATAGAAATAAGAAGAGAAAAGAGAGGATGGAAAATCATTACTAATTAAAGTAGGATTTAGCCATAAGCTACAACAAAAAAATATGAAAAATAGTGTCAGTGCAGTGGAGTTGGGACAAAATTGAATTACGGTGGCAAAACTGCATGCAAACCTCTACGTAGTTTGTGCAAAATTAAAAAAGGAAGAATGACAAGGGAGAAGACAAAATATACTCAGCGATTGTTTGTTCAAAGTCAGAAGAGACATTTAAAAATATAGATAACTAGACTGAAAGAGTCATTGCAGCCTCTGCAGGCTTCCTGCCTGCCCTGAATATGAGAACATGGATCAGGGCCAGAGGCACGCTCTTAGGTTAAAGGACACTGTGGGTTCTTCCTGGGGACAGTGTGGTTGTTCTGAATAGAGCTGCCATAGTTTCACCTTTTAGCAAAGTTCTAGATTCACGTAACCGTCATTAAAAAATGAATAATAATTAGGAACCACTTGGAGGCTATTCTAAGATAGTATGTTTTAAATAAGGCAAGGAACATATAAAAAGCAGAATATACAACAGAAAAATTATGTTAAGAAACAATAAAATTTCAAACACATCTCCAGGAGCTTGAAGCATTAAAATAAAACATGATATCTTCAAAACAAGAACTCAAACATATATAATAGCTCAAAAATTAATAAGACAATACATAGTAGGAATTGAAAAGTATCAGTGGTCTGGAAAAAACCAAACAGGAGAAAAATGAAATGATTATAGAAATGAAAGTCATGTCAGAGTTGAGAAAAGAATGGAGCTTGAGAAAAATAAAGCAAAATAAATGGAAAAGAATACAGATCAGAATGTTGCAGAATAAATAATAACTACTAAAGACAAAAGTGATCCATAATAAACATAATTAGTGCCTCTGAAGATGATAAAACAAATGGAACAAAAGTATTAACCGAAATAGATGAAGAGATTCCTAAAACAAAAACCTACAGCAACTCATGAACTACAGGACCCATAGTGCTTTTGAAAAAAAAAAAAGACTCAGTCACTTAATCTAAGCAAGAAATGAATCAAAGTAGAAAACCTAGGAATGAAGCTGCCTTGTTAGGAAAGAAATTATGGTTAGAAATCAGGGTGAATATGTAAACTGTTGCAGTATAGAAATAATAATGTAATTAGAGTAGAAAAGGAAAATGAGACTCAAAAACTATGTCTATTCTTTGAAAAGTAAATGAAGCTATAGATTTTTAGGACAATATTTAATGTGATTGCAAAGAGCTCAGCTGAGCTGGGAAAGACAACTGAGCTGTCAGAGAGTTGAGTAGCTGATAAAAGCAACATGGCAAAATGGAAGAGTGAGGCCTTAATCACATACTGTGTTCATAAAAGCAAGTCTCTGAAAAAGCAAAGAACATGCAGACACCCGTTTTATTTCCCCCTGTAATAGCACGTTGGTTAGAGTTGGTGGATCAGCACAGACATGGGCCCACTGTTGAGGCAGCCCTTAGTGTTGTGCAAGGTCGGGGCTGGGAGGGTCAGGCTAGGTGTGGAAAGTGCTGTTAGTCAAAGAGGGGAGAAGTATCTTCAAGGTTTCTCCCTCCTGTAAGGAGGTTTTGGCAGAAATAGATGGCGCCTGAAGAGGACCTGTGCCCAAGGCCTCAGCTAAAGACACCTAGAAATACAAATATGTGAAGAGCGTGACTGGCCAAGAGGCCCAAGACCTTGACTGCAATCTCCCTCTGAGACTAAGATGCACTGGCCATGCACCAGTTCTGGAGTATTAGGACAGTTTACCCAGTGAAGCCTTTTCCTGCTGGGGGCAGCCTTTGTGATTGCCTATATATGAGCCTAAAAAAATCACGTATAGGTTTTTAACCAGGAGCAGATTCCTCGGTTATAAAGGTAACTAGTAATAAAACTAAAATCTGTAATTTATTTAGTCACTACTATATAAACTATATGTGAGTGGAAACCGTGCTTGTATGTTCATTTTTGTATTCCCCCACCTAGCACAATGCCTGGCATATGGTAGATACTCTGAAATATTAGTGCATTAATTGATGAACATTGTTTAATGAACATCATATTGTACCAAAAAAGTGGGCAAACACCAGGCAAGTGGCAACAAAGGACAACAGGGGTTTC